AATTCTGTAGGCTTGCATACCTTTCCTCTACCTAAAATCTGGACCACTGGTGTCCAGTTTTTGAAACCATGAAATTGCTTATCTTTGTTACATCTTGTAAAAACCAAAACAGAATCTGTTTCCCACAAGAAGCTCTTTGTTCTTTATAGTTAATTCCAAACTTGTAAGAGTTTCAATATTCCAATTTTATCTGGACCCTTAATCTGTTTATAATTTTCTAAGATCAAAGTCTTATTTAGCTTTTTGTTGTTTATTTCAGATTCTTTGAATTCTTAAGTTATGATTAAAACTTTTATTCAGGATTGAAGGTAAACTCACCTGGCATTTTCAAACTTGTCATTCCAAAGGTCTCTAATAGCTTAGAAGTAATTAATAAGCAATTTCCAAAAGTGATTAGAAAGTGAGGTTTGTGAACTTAGTGTTCTTTAAAAGTTTCCACTGCAGTTGCGAGGAAGATGGCTAATCCTGTGGTCTCCTGGCTCTCAGACCTGTGGAAAACCACTGTCCTGTGGTCTCCTTGAGAGGAGCAGCCATCCAGAGCACATGTGAGTGACCTCCTGTCCTCTCATTATCCAGAGAGGTTCCAAAGAACCGGTCTACTCACCAGTTCCTTGGTCTTTGCCATGGTTGTGAGTTCCGCTTTTGCAGAGTCATCTTCAGTTCACCATACCTCTCCCAGAAGTCCCCCAGAGCACATATTATGATTGTATTAAAAGTGTACAGAATAGTCTTTCCCAACCAGTTTTTCTCCAGATGCACTAGACTTCAGTTTCTATAATTTCCTTCCAGTTCTGCAAGTATGGAAAATTTCACATTAGGGATCTGATGTAAAAACTATTCATTCTTCTATTAAATGAATTCTGTTGCTTTAAATTTGCTAAAGAGATGAAGGATAGGAGGGAGAAATTATACAGTACATCATAAAAATTGTTGCACAAGATTTCATTCAGCTGATACTTGTGGGAAAATGGTATGTATAATTTTTCCAGAAGCTGTAGTATTGCTCTAGAAAGAAATAAGCAGGCTAAGATTTAGACTTCTACATATGCCCTGGTGAGATTTTGAAGAGTATCAGTTATTAAGAGATTGATTGATTGATTGATTGATTGATTGATTGATTGATTGATATTTTACATTTATATAGCCACCCATCTCACAAAGCGACTCTGAGCGGTGTACAACAATTAAAATAACAAGTGAATAAAAACAGTTTTTATTTATAATTTCTCTTTCTACTCATTTTGCTGCATTAAATATTAGGAAAAATATTTTAACTCACATTCTGCCATTTCCAACCATTAGACATGTGTGTCTTACCCTGTAAGAATAATTACGTTTGCAGAGCAATTGAGGACATACAACTACGGTATTGGCCGATTGCAGCTCAGTCAAAATGCTGCCAGAGTATTAGGTTCCCTCTAGGCAAAAGATGAACGGAACTTTGGGGTGAGGGATTAATTAAACCATCCTGTTGTTCAAAATTTAAAAGGTATTCCCTGGCCTTAGACAGTTGTGTTTTCCATTGATAAAGAAACAAGATCAAGGCTTCCCTAAATAGGAAGCATTTGTTTCTGCCTGTGTGGTGTCAATTTAAGGGTCATATAAGAATGATCTACACATTTTTGTTGCACAATATGAGATGACTACTCAATTATTTTTGTACTGCTGCAAATATTTGTATGTTATACCTACCTGTTTACTTTGTTACCACTTTAAAGAAGACATGACTTTCAAATGAGGGCTTTTTCTAATATTATAAATCACTGCTTGATATTTCCATGATTAAATTATGATTGTCTTTGTGTGAACCACATGTCAGTGTTGTTCTTTTAGAAACTAAAATGTTCATGTAATCCCAACTCATATCAGTGGTAGCCATGAAGAAAGAGTTTACAAACAGCATGTTTTGCAATCCTATTGATATGTCAAATACAAACTATAACTTTAAATATTAGAGACATTTATTCTATAAGGGTAGAATCCACTGTCTTCTTTGGCATCCTCACACTAAAATGGAAACCATAGTATATTGAATCTGCAAAGTATGTATCAAGCATCCATTTATATTAATCAAAATTCTGCAACTCAGCCCAAGGTGTGCCTAAAGACTTCCTTATGTGAAAAAATATCCCAAAAGGAGATTAAAAACTACTATTGTATAAATAATCAGTAGGGATTTATGATGGATGACTATTAAGTATATTCACTAGGACAACAAGAGAGTTTTGTTTACGTTTTCCAGGTTTTTGCAGGATCCTCTTTAAAAGGAGAGGATCCTG